ATGGGGCTGTTATTAGAAGAAAGGGAGAAGGGATGCTGGGGTACTAAACTGACAGATGCCCATGACACTGAGACTACTTCGGGCCAGACCCTGGTAGATGTGGAAGATGTGAAGATGACTGCAATGTGAAACTCTTACCGGCAGTCAGGATAGGAGATGGAAACAAAGAAATGAATTGTTATCCAAAGGAGAATGTGGGAAGAGCACATAATAGTCACACGAGATTCTATGAGAGCCAATAGACAATGACACACTGCCGGCTGGGGCATGGAGAAATCTTATCAATTCTAAGGGCCCTCCAGAAGCTCCCAGTGATTTGGGGCCAGATCCCATTTCTGCTCAGGAAAATTACTTCACCTCTCTGAACCTAATGATTCCAATTTAGAAATTAGATTGGTTTGGAAAGCTGAATACAGAGCTTGGCACATAGTAGGTACTTTCTTACCCTCCCAGAGTCCCAGGGCCACCCACTCGCCCACACTGCCCATTCTTCTTTGATGATAAACTGATTAGCTCCAACTTAGCTTAAAAGCAAAATATACTCCTTAGAGTTGTTTCAATATCCAGTCTGTAGAAGAATATCAGGAAATTACAATTAAAATAATCTAATTGTACCAAAGTTATCAACATACATCCCCACTAGAACAGAAGCTCCCTGAAGCCAGGCAAAACATTATTCATTTTTGCATCTCTCCCTGGTACCTAACATAATGGACACTCCCCTCTCCCAGTTTTATTGAAATATAATTAACACACAGCACTGCATAAGTTTAAGGTGTACAGCACAATAACTCACATACATTGTGAAATGATAACCACAGAAGTTTAGTAAACACCCATCATCTCATGAAAATAACACAAAAAGGAAAAATAAAAAATACTGTTCCTTGTGATGAGAAGCTGAGATTTATTCTTTTCATTTTCAAATATACCATAAGGCAGTGTTAACTACAGTCACCATGTTGTTCATTACACCCCAGAACTCATTTATCTTATAACTGGAAGTTTGTACTTTTGACCACCTTCATCCAATTCTCCTCTATACACAAAGCTCTCGTAACTACAAACCTGATCTCTTTTTCTATGTTTGTTTGTTCGTTTTATTTTGTTTTAAGATTCCACATATAAATGAGATCATACAGTATTTGTCTTTCTCTGTCTGACTTATTTCACTTAGCATAATGCCCTCAAGTCCATTCATGTTATCATAAATGGCAGGATTTTCTTCTTTTCGTGGCTGAGTAATATTCTCTTGTATATAATATATGTACCACAACTTCTTTATCCATTCATCTCTTGATGGACACTTAGGTCATTTCCATGTCTTGGCTCTTGTAAATAATGATTTTGTGAACATAGGGATACGGATATCTCTTTGACGTAGTGTTTCATTTCCTTTGGATATATTCCCAGAAGTGAAATTGCCGGATCGCACGGTAGTTATATTTTCAATTTTTTGAGGAAACTCCATACTGTTTTCCATAGTAGCTGTACCAATCTACAATCCCACCAACGGTACACAAGGGTTCCCCTTTATTTGCATCCTCTCCAGCATTTGTTATCTTTTCCTTTATGATGATAATTATTCTTACAGATGTGAGGTGATCACTCATTGTGGTTTTGACTTGCATTTCCTTAATGATTTGTGATGTTGGACATCTTTTAATGTACCTCACGACCATTTGTTTATCTTCTTTGGATAAATGTCTATTCAGGTCTTTTGCCCATTTTGAAATTGGATTATATTTTTTTGCTATTGAGTTGTATGAGTTCTTTATATATTTTTGATATTAACTCCTTATCAGATATATGGTTTGCAAATATTTTTTTCCCATTCTCTAGATTGTCTTTTCATTTTGTTGATCATTTCTCTCGCTATACAGAAGTTTTTCAGTCTGATGCAGTCCTATTTATTTTGTTGCTTGTGCTTTAAGTATCCTATCCAAAAAGTCATCGTCAAGACCCATGTCAAGGAGCTTTTTCTTATGCTTTCTTCTAGCAGTTTTGTGTTTTTCAGTCTTACATTTAAGTCCTTAATTCATTTCAAGTTAATTTTTGTGAGTGGTATAAGGTAGGGGTCTATAATGGACACTTTTAATAGATTTTTAAACTGAATATATGAATTGGTAAATGAGACCCTAGAAAGAACAGTGAAAATAAGAGATTGTTATGGCAAGACAGTTTCCTGGAAGACACCCCAGTGGGTTCAGATGTCAGTCAAGGACAAGTAGTGAGGGCAAAATGTGTAGCCAGCATGAGGGATAGAAGGCTGGACGCTTTAGAAGAGACAGTGAGCAATGGGACTACTTCATTTGTACATTCAAAAATGTCTCTTCACCACCTACCCTGTGGTAGATACCAGGCACCTGGGATCCAGCAGCAGAAAACTTGAGTCTCCTGCCATCAGGGAGCTGATAGCCAGGGTATCATGTGTGAGCACAGCAGTAGTTCCAGGAAAACCTGGACGATGCATCCCCAAGGCTGCAGCTTCTTGCTAATGTGCTTCTAATAATAATATTAAGCTCAATAACAGCAGCTGTCACGTATAGAGAACCAACTATGTTAGTCATAACCATTTATATCAGTTTTAGGTAATATAAACTCAAACTGGTTTAAGCAAATAAAAAGGAAATTTTCGGTTTATTAATTTCTAAAAATACCGGGGGTTAACTAGCTTCTGGCATGACTAGATCCAAGAGCTCCAAAATGCCATCAGGACTCTGTGAACCACTCCATCTCTGGCTTTGCTTTCTTTTGACTTCCCTCCGACTTCATTCTCAAATGGCTACATAGTAAAACTGGCATCTGGCAACTCCAGGCTAGTGATGTCAGCAAGGAGGAAGCACCCCTTTCCCTGCTGTTCTGCAAACTTCAGGGCACTGTTAGAGGGACTGGTCCAACTTCAGTCTCATGCTCAGGCCTAAACCGATACCTGCAGGAAATATCGGGCAATGCTGATTGGCCTGGGTCTGGTGTGGAAATGGGGTGGGGTAGGGGACAGCCCTGTTTATTCAGTAAGGACTGAGAATGGAAGAGGGTGGTTTCCAAAAGAGAGCAGAGCTGTAATTAGGTCAGCTTAGCAACGCCCTACACCTACTATGTACCAGGCATAAAACTAAGGGGCAAGTTGAGCCTCCCAACAGTCCTGTGTGGTGAGACCATTCTGATTCCCACTTATAGATGTGGAAACTGGCTCAGAGAGGCTGAGTACCTTGCCAATGTTGTATAACTAGCAAGTGGAGGGGCAAGGAGCGTGGCTTCTTTAGTACCAGACAGAGAAGTTAGTAGAGGAGGCCCCAGCTTCTGTCAGAGAGGATTTCCCTGCTTAGACCTAATGAATAGAGGGGAACGGATAAACAGGAATAACCTGATGAATTGGGCGCTATTCTTGTCCTCCACCTCCACGGCAATGACATATAATTCATCTATCCTCTTGTTCAATGTTCACCAAAGCAGGTAGCACAGATCCAGGAGCAGACCGCCTGAGTTCCCTAGCAATCTCTTTAGCAAGACATTGAGTGTTGTACTTTAACTTGGAGGTAGAATTCCAGGGCAGCAAGAGTGAAGGAAAAGAGAGGGGAGGTGGGGAAGGATGGGAAGCGGTGCAAGGTGACGTATAACCACATTGCCACTGCCTCACAACAAACCCCATATGGAAAATGTGCCTCAAAGGGTCCAAGGGAGGAAGGAGGAGGGATTCATCCTCCCACCTCGTCTCCTACGGCTCAAAGTTCATCCTGAGAACTAACTCCCTTCATGTTCTGGGCTGAGTTCTCTAGCCCCCTTGGCGACCATTGAGGAGTCAGACCCCTCACCCTAGGATGTGATCTAGAAGGGGTCAGGAAGGCAGCTGCTCAGCTTCAGTTGTGAATCTGTGAGGACCCCATGGGGTCTGTCAGCCACGGAGGCAGAGGAAGCAGGAGGCTAGAGAACAGGGGAGCTGAGAGAATCTTTAAAGGGATGCAAGATGGTGACACACCCACATTCCAGCTCTGACTTGATTGCTCCATGCTTGTTTCCTTCACAGTAAGATGGGGATAATAGTACCTCCTCTAGAGTGGTGGAGAACTTGAGGTACTACATGTAAAGCACTTAGTAGTCTCACCCCTAGGAGGTGAACTGAACTAGCTGTCTTGATTTTGCCTGGGAGAACTTGGGGTGCTGTCGTGGCTAAGCTGTGATCTTTCCATTGCAAGTTGGCTCAAATGAAGAAAAGGATGTATTGGCTCGAAAAACTGGAAGGCCTGGAGGCACATCTGGCTTCAGCACAGTTGGACCCAGGGGTAACAGAATCCCAAGGTATGTGGCCCACTTTGAGTTCACAGCATGGGCACTAGGAAACACCCTCCTTGACCTCCAGGGGTTGACCTGAGCAGAGAGACTGAGAACTGGCTGCAACATCTATGAAATGAGAGGCTGGACTAAATTGGGGGTTATCGACTCGACATCCTGTGGACGTCCAGGATGGGTTCATGATTTGTTTTAAAAGCATATCTCTGTTTTGGCTGGAGTAATCGCAATTCTATGTCTCATACGAGCTTGTTCAGTGATTGTCAGCTCTGACAGGTAGTTCTAGATATGTCTTTATGCATTTGAGAAATACATTTGGGGATGTGAATGCTGGCTTCATAAACACAGTCTGTTTAAAAGATGTAATTTTGCAAACCATGGGGGAAAATAATTGACATCGGTCTGGGGGGGTGAAAAGATGAGGACCATGGCTGAAATTCATGTTGACAGTCTCTCGCAGCAACCACCTTCTTGGCTACCAGGATTCTGAACTCCCTCCCCAAGCAGTTTCCTTTATGAAGGAACACCCAAACACCATGCTCCCATTTCTCCAGCCACATAACTGCCCCTGCACTGTGTTTTCCAGGGCAAGCCACAGGATCCATCAGCTGTATGACCTTGGACAAGTCATTCTACCTCTCTAAACCTGTTTCCTTGACCGTAAAATGAGATTGGGCACAAAAATTGAAACATGTCCACACAAAGACTTGTACAGGAATGTTCAAAACAGCTTTACTTGTAACAGCCAAAATCTGGAAACAGCCCAAATGTCCTCCTGGTAAATGGATAAACAAACTATGGTACATCCATACAATGGAACACTACTTGGCAATAAAAAGAAACATGGATGAATCTCAGAATCTCAAAATCATGCTGAAAAAAAAGCTAGACATAAAAGAGTACATACCATGTGATAATATCTATATGGAGTTCTGGAAAAGGCAAAATGAATCTCTAGAACAAAGGCAGGTCAGTGGTTGTCTGGGGTCAGGGAAATGGGCCATGAAGCGGAATGAGAGAACTTGAAATATTCTCAGTGGTGGTGGTAGTTACAAGGGTACATGCGTTTGATAAAACTTATGAGTTGGACATTTACAATGGATGGGTTTTACTGCATGTAAAGTATAACTCGAAGTTGATTTTTAGAAAAATGAGATCAAAGAAAAACATTGCATTTATTAAGACCCTGTCTATGGCAGAAACCTAGCTCAGGATGGTCTCTGAGGAAAAAAGAAACACACTGACTTATATAATCATGTTGGTCCAGGGGTACTGTTGGCTTCAGGCATGGCTGGATCCAGGGCCTTACTGATGTCTGGACAGCATATGCTCGCCTTCTCTTAGGTCTCTGTCCTCCTTGTTGGCTTCATCCTCAAGTGGAGAACAGGATGGCCACCAGCAGTTCCAAGCTTTTAATCTGCCAACCTGCCAACTCCCACAAAAAGTGAATGCCCTTTTCCTCACAAAAAAGCTGCAAAAGTCCCAAGGGGAAGTCTCAGTGTCCAGCCTGGGATACATGCTTGCCTCTAAAGCCAGTGGTTGGGGTTGGCCCCAGCTGAACCCCAAGGGTACCAGGTTGAAGAGGGATGGTCCCCTGAAGGAAAAGATAGACATTATCAGAAGTGTCACGGATACTGTGCAGGAAAAGCCAATAAATAGCCGTCACCTTCTCCACATACTCGGGGGCAATGTTATCACCCATTCCTACCTCCAGACCACCTCCACAGTGGCCAGGTCACCAGGGACAGGTCCCAAGCTCATTCAAGGTCCAAGGCTGCTTTTCTGCAGTGTCACAAGCTCTGCCTGTTAGCCACAAGAGTCAAAACAAAGTGAGTGTGAATCTCTTTCCCACCAGCCAAGCCAAACAGTAAGCCCTTCCTACATGTACCCCAAGAAGGCAGATGGAGGGTAGGGCAGCTCTGTGGCAGCTTCTGACTCAGACACAGGGGGAACATCTCATTGCTGACAGCGTTTGGACTTGTAGGGCAAACCTTGAGAGGACGAATGATGCCTCTGTGCGTCAGACCAGAGAGGAATACAGGGCAAAGGAGTGACTTCTCAATCCAGAACCACCATCCTAACAGGGTCCAGCCAGAGAGGAAATTAAGAGGTGGTCCTTGCAGAGATCAAGGAAGGTAAGGTACCATCTAACATGCTGAAACCCAAACCTCACTTCCTAAGCAGTGCAGTGCAACTAGCATTAAAGGAGCATCTTCACCACACCAGACACCACACAGTTTTCTATTGAATTGTCCTCCCATAAGGGAAGGGAAAGGGAGCGACAGCTTCATATCCATATTCAACCTCCAAAGTAGACACTGTCATGTCCAAATAAATCAGGCAATAGGCTCAGAGAGGTAGTGGCTTTACCCAAGGCCCATAGCTGTCTCCACCAGGCTCCACTACAGGAGCTCAAAGCTCTTGCCTCATCTTGACTGTTCAAGGCTGCTAGCTGAGCTGAAGTTATTTCTGACCTAGGTAAGCTAAGGCAGTTTAAGACTGTCTCCCAAACCAGCTTCCCAAGGAATATGGACAAGAAAACCCTGAGCTGAGACCCACCGTCCTATTTCCCACCATGGTGCTGGCTGAGTAGGCCTGCCCAGCCATCTTGCTTTCTGGGAAGCAGGTTAAATGGATGTGTTTGCCAAGAGTGTGCATTCTGCTGTAGAGAGCTGGGTGGGGAGCAGGGCGAGAGACAGACAGAGGAAAGAGAGACCAAGGGCCAGCAAGGAAAGTCATGGCCTAGGCTAGGGCCCTCCCTGCCAAAGGAAGCCCATGGGCCTGGCCCAGAGCTGCTAGGCTCTGAGAAAGTGGTGTTCTCAACTCTCATCCCATGTGCCATGTCTGAAGCAGGCTGGCTCTCCAGTTCTGCAGATTGGACTAGGAACAGCCACCCGCTTCCTAGAGCCGACAATGCTGTTGGTTCCCTGCACTGGCATCCTGCCCAGGTGGCCCTTAGGCCAGGCCCTTGGAATCCAGCTCTGTAGAAAAGAGGGAGAGGCAGGGACAGCCTTCTGGAGACCTAGGCACCCCAAGCAGGGATCCTAGGCTACCCACTCGGATCAGGGCACAGATGAGCAAGCTCCATGCAGGCTATGCTCATTCCTAGATGCTTCTGTCCAGGCAAGGAGCAGGGAACCAGTGGCCCTCTGCAACTCACAGCTGTGTGGCCTGGGCTACATGCCTCTTTTGTGTTATGAAAATGAGGCTAAACCCTGCCCTTCCCAGAGCTAGGATCCTTGGCAGCACAGCAAGGCTGAGAACGGTAGGCTGTGGGTCCAGGCTGGCCAGGTATGCACTCAGTACTGGGGCAACTAAAGGACAACAACCAGTCTCCCTGTGGGGCAGGTACCTCTTCTATGAGACAGTAGCATCCATCCCAGGTAATTGCCATGATGAAACACTTAAGTATCAGTTAGCCTTATGATATGCTTGTTATAACTGTATATGCTAATTAATAATTATTACTGAAAGAGCACTGACCTTGGGAGTCAGAAGCTACAGATCTAAACCCTAGTTCTGCCACATCCTGGCTGTGTGTCCTCTGGCGAGTCTCCTGATCTCCTTGGCTTCAGTCCTCTGTAAAATGATGATCAAAAGATGACTCTAAGCAGGAGAGAAAATAAAAGAAGTGAAAATCTGCCAATTGCAAATGGTCACATCGCCCGATAGGCTCTGAAGGCAGACCTGGAAGAAATCTTTTCCATCTCTAAATTGTGAGCATGTAGTGGATAGTTCTCTGGCTGCTTAACAGAATCACCTGAGGAACATAAGAAAAAACAAAAGGAGATACCAATCCTGGGGTTTCCCCATAACCCCCAGCAATTCAGATCCAGTTGGTCTGGGGCAGGGCCCAGGCATTCAAATTATTTTAATATTCTCCAAGTGATTCTTATGTACCAGGGTTGAGAAGCAATACAGCAGCCCACTTAGAAATCAGGACATTGCCAGCATCCTCCCCAACAACTTCATCTCTCTGTTTGGAGAGAGACCCAGTGCTGCTCCGACACCCTCCAACAAAGATTCTGAGCTTCCTGGCTGGAGGCGAGCTGCAGCCCACGGTACATACCACTTGGCAAAAAGAAAATACTTTCTGGCTCCCGAGGGCACGGAGCCATCGCTCAAATGGGTAATGAGCCTCGCCCGTTTTAAAAGCCCCAATCCTGCTAACTGGGTGGGGGTGTACGTGCACAGGGGAAAAAAAAATGCTGGAAGAGTATATTTCATTAGCAGACATTATCTCCAGCATTTATGCCTTTTTCATCCTTTTGTATTTTCAAAACGCTCTACCGTGGAAGGCAGCTCTTTCGTAATTTGGAGGAAAAAAACCAGCATTTTTGCTGTATTGCCTTCTTTAAAAAAATTGATGTACTGTCTTTTGCAAATGTTTTGGGATAAAGACTGAGGAACATGCTCAGCCTTTATCCCAAGGAACAAGGAGTTTTGTGGGGATGGGAGGGCAGGGCAAAGAAGTCACAGGGCTAGCTGATTTGAAGTTAGCAAATGCTTAGCCAAGGAAAATAGAACGTGTTGTATCACCCCGTGTCCACTGCAAGTTGTAAAAATGTCATTTTCACAAGAGCCCCGCCCACCTCTCAGCAAAGAGGGATAAACACTACTCCCCCACCTGCCATATTGATCTTTACCTTGGAGCTGCCCCTCCCCGGGGCAGAAAAATGCCGAAGCTCCACAGCAAACCCAGCTCCTTAGACACGGTCTCTGGGAGAGCTGGTGTGGAGGCACTGCTGGAACAGCCAGAGCTCGAGGAGCAGGGGACCAGCTGGCCAGGAATGAGGATTGTGGCATTCAGGGCACCACCTATGGCTATGTTCTTGAGTGATGAGAGCTTTCGAGTCAGCACCTGCGAGGGAACCTGAGAAATACCTCAAGGGTGGATTTCTCCTACTAACCTGTAAGATCGAGACATGAGGTGGGTCTTGCCTCTTTCCTGCCTCTTCCCTGCCCTGTCTGTCCATCCACAAGCAGGCCACCTGCCCACCCTCAGCTAGAGAGGAAGGTTCTGTTGCTGTGGGATTTGGTGACATTCTTGTGGATTGGTGTTCTTGGGTTAAGGCGGTGGGGGTGGGGGGGATTTCACAAATTGGCATTTCTGCTTCTTGATAATCCCCCAAGGTAAGGCCTTGGCTTAGGCAAAATAGCCGTGGGGTGGGGATGGAAGAGGTGGGGGCACCTGCTGAGAATGAAGGAGACTCAGGAAGTGAGACAGGGATAGAAAACACCCAGCCAAGAGAAAGAAAGCTCTAGGGGCACAGTGGGGGAAAAGACCTTGAACCCACTGCAAGCGTATTTGCAAACTGGCCAGCTCACTGGTCTCAGAGAGTAGACTGTTTTAAAACACAGTGCAAGTTCCTGCCCAGGTGCCCCTGAATGGTTCAGGAAAGGTGGGGCACCCTGGCCAGCCCAACACTGTTGCCCTTGACTGCACACAAACCAGGGAGACCCTGTGTTCTCTTGGGCTCCAATCCATGCAGGAATATCTCAATGCATATCCTGCCCCAATAATGCATCAGCCCAGCGAAAATGTTTTAATGACCAGCAAGTCTCCATTCATTCTCATTTCAGGAGGATGGGAGAAGACATCCCCACTGGACCCTAGAAGCCCTCCCCATTCCCATCATGGCCAGGCGGGCGAGGGGTGAGGTTGGCAGCCGCTGCTCGATGCTCATTGCAAGAACAATAAGGATTTTTAGGGGCATTATGACTGAGTCAGAAAACACAGCTGCCCCTGAAAGTCCCTCATTTTTCTTGCTGTACTTGAACACGATCCAGATGAGTCACGCTGCAGCAGTCGGCCGGCTGGCCCAGGTGAGTGAAGACGGTAACCCCCTCAGTCCCACTGGCCCACCTCGCATAGCCCAGGGGAAGCTCTGTGGAGGGTGGGTAGTTATGGGGTCTCCACAGTGACACAGTTCTCTCCAATGCTTGGTCTGGCCTGTGGCTGGCCTCACTACCCCCAGGGCGTGCCCAGGAGACAACTGGAACCCAGTAGCTCCTGCCCGCCGAGAGGCGTGGACTAGAGTCCTGGCGGAATCCTGAGTGGAAAAGTGCAGCCCAAGAACCAAGGAAGGAAGTAAGACCAGGAGAGGGGCCTCTGTCTTCCCGTGTGGCGTGTGGACCCACCTTGCAGAGACTGAGCTCCTAAGTGACAGTCACAGCCCTGACGCTGATGCACGAACAGAAGACAGTTGGCTTTACCTTCCTCAGATGCCAGGCCTGGTTCAGGCAGAGGACAAAACCCTGGGAGGTACCCAGAAGACCAACTTGAGCCAGAACATCTGAGGAGGAGCTGCTGCTCTCCCTAAACCCTCTTAAAGAACAGCTTAAAGACACAAGGTTCCAAGAGGGCCCGGACCTGAGCTGTGGTTAAGCTTCCCTCCAGCGGTCGTGGCCTTGGTCATCCTGTCTGTAAAATGGGCCCAGAAGGAGCTAAGCTCCCACCACCATCTCTCCCACTTCAAAGGAAAAGCAAAAGAAGAGAATTTCAGTTGTCATAGCCAAAGAAACTATTCCTGAAAAGCTTACAGTCACGGGTCTTCTGTCACGGTGGGAGGCAAGAGCCTGCCAACTGTGGGAACCAGCGCACCATGGGGAGCTACAGCCTGAGCCCAGATCTCAGTCCGGCCCTCCCTGTGCTCGACCACATCCCGCCCTACCCTCATCAGAGGGAAGCTCTGGACAAGGCAGCAGCTTCCCGTGGGCAGCAGCAGGAAGGCAGGTCCTCCCCGTCCTTCACGAAAACAGCCTGTGATGAGCAAAGACTTCTGTATGTCCCCACGGTTTTCAAGTTCAAATCAGTGAGCTCACAGGCTCGGCTGGGAAGGGCAGGCTGGAAGAAAGTGGGGGTAGGTGAGGGGAATGGTGAGAAGGGGCTAGTGACCAATTGTTTTTCTTATGAGAGGCTGGAAAGGGCTTCTGGAAGCAGCCTGGTTTAGGGTTCTCCTCTATGGCCTGATCCCTTCTGCCCCCCAGGCCGGCAGGGCTCAACTCTCTACATCGGGGTCCCTGCTCAGCCTGGCACTGTATCTATTCAGTGGTCCTTCTGTGTGTGCAGGACCTGAGGCCGCTCAGAACATGGGACATGCATGTCCCCACTGTGGTGAAAAGCACAATCCATGGAAGACAGACCCGGTGCCACTATCTGCTTACTTGATGTCTGTGTAGAAGTCTCCTTACTTCTCTGCACTTCCCTCAGCCTTCACGCCTGTAAACAGGAATAGATAAGCCTACTTTGTGGGGTGATGTGAGGATTGAAGGGAAGAAAGTATACAGAGCACTTAGCTGGCTTCTTACCACAAGTGTATTCCCCTCTCCTTTCCCCCTTACCTTCAGACCCCAAGGGCAGAGGGGCTGGGACAGGCTCCTTGGGGGTGTCCAAGAACTCAGGCCACAGAGAATTCTTCCTCTCTCAGAAGAGCAACAGGGCACAGGCCTCGCTGCTCCCCGGCACTAACACTGCACCTTGGCCCCACATTCTAGATCCTGCCTTGTTCAGATTGAGAGGAAGCATGCTGGGAACCCCAGCTACAGCCTCAGCCCTCTTAAAATTCTTACGGCAACTGTCACTTTACCCAGAGCTTTCTCCCCTAAGCAAGATCACAGCCATGTCCCCTACCGGCAAAACCCAAGCTGTCCGCACACGCTAGGATCCGAGCCATCTGAACCATTCAACAACATGACTGCATCATGCTTCACCTACTACACAGCCTCAGCCCTCAGTCTGCATGGCCTCTGCGTGAGCTGGTGCCTGGGTCGCAATCCAGGGGAATGGAGTAAGAGGGTAAGACCCAGCTCACCATGAACTAGCCATAGAACCTTGGGCAAGTTAATTCACCCCTCTGTGCTTCAGTCTGCTCCTTTTTGAAATCGAAGGGGTTGTTGGGAGGATTAAATGAGTTCATTCCCATCAAAGGCTGAGAACTGCGTCTGGCACAAAGCATTCGATTGGGCTATGAAGACCATCCCCTGCTCTGTTATTCAAGCTTTAGCTCACCTCTGCTGCATGCTTTTCCTGACTCCAACCCCTCCCTGGCTTAGAGACCCTTCTTTCTCCCTGCTCCCCAACCCCATACACATCACACTGCTTTACCTACCAACCAGCTCACAGGCAACATGGTCCTGGGACCACCTGCCTCATATATGCTTATTAACAATGCTGGCTCCAGGGCCCCTGAGGTTGACTGGGCGGCCCAGGAGTCTGCGTTGCTAATGGGCTCCTCAAGTGGTTTTCAGAGGCACCCAAGTTTGAGAACCACTGCTCTGGGCTGTCTTATCACCATGGTACAGGCAGTGCCTGGCCTAGGTGCTCAATAACAAGGAGGTGAGACTGGGGGGATGGGGCTGTCCCAGGGCCATGGCCAGAGGATCTCTCCATGCCACGCTCAGTAGGTAAAGGCGACCCACCTGGGCTTGGCTCTGACAGCAGAGCTAACCCATCACCAAACACACCAGCCCCCCAGTCTGGTTCCTCAGGCCTTTCCCGAGTCCTGGCTCTATACCTGGCCTCTGCTGAATACACAGTGATGACTGAGAGGCTGCCCACTTCTGCCGAGGGCTGAAAAGCTGTCAGGGCTTCCTGAGGAGCTGCAGAATGAGGCGGCTCCACTCTGAACACAGCCAACAACCCAAAAAACCATGATGGAAGGAAAAGAAAGGCCAAGCAGAGATATCACCCTTGTTTGGAATTTGCTCTAGAAAGAAAAATATGCACCAGTCACACCCTGACTAAAAGGAGGTGGTTGGGCAGAGGGCAGAAGTCCCAGAATGTCTTGGGGGAGCCCCTCCTATAGAGAAGCCACAGGGCACACAGAAGGCCTGTGGCAGGGGCTGGCTGAGAGAGTCTGTTCCCAGGGCCTGAAGAGGCCAGGCCTGCTCCGAGTTAGGGGCCAAACTTCCCTGGCAGAGAGCTGGGTCAGGCTGGGCAGAGGGATGCTGGCGCTCCCAGTTTAGGGGAGCTGGCTCTCCAGGATCCTGCCCCTCCATCCAGCCACCTACCCAGTCTGCCCCAGGCCAGGCCGCTTTGGAGGTGGGAGCTAGAGGGCTCGGCTGGCTTGAAGCCTCCGCTGCAGTGGAAAGCCTACTCAGCCTTGCAGGCCGTTCCAGGCCTGGGATGAACAAAGCCAGGAGACCTGAATCTCATCCATCAGAGCCCAAGTTTACGATAACCAATCTCTCTGCCAGAAATTCTTTTGTTAAGAACACCTTGGCTCTTAAACACTCACTCCCACTCCTTCAGCACCCCCACCCCACCACGTCCTGAAAGCTCTCCAGCCCTGCTTGGCCTGACACTGATGGCCAGTGTTCCTTGAGGTTGGCTTGGCCCCCAAAACTCATCAGTGGGTGGAGGTCTGAGTGCCCCTTGGCCCAACTGGACTGGAGCCCGAATGCATCTGTCCACACAAATACACATGCTCACCAACGAGGTCAGAGGCAGCGCCTTACGCTGGCCCACATTTCCAGACTGTACAGGAGCTGAAGCCAGGGGTGAGCACTGGCGTTATAGCTGCAACTTTTATTTAAAGGTGACTCTACTGGGACAGGAAAACAAGACAACCAGATAGCAGGGCTAACATATGGTGAAGGAAAAAGTGTTTACAGATGCACTTGTCCTTCTCACAAGGAGACAGCAAACTGTGGGCCCACGGGCCAAACCCAGTCTAGCACTTGTTTTTATAAAGTTTTTTGAAAACACAAGTATAGTATTCACGTATTATCTATGGCTTTCATGCCACAACCGCAGAGCAGAAGAGTTGCAACAGAGACTCTCAAAGCCTAAAATATTTACTGGTCCTTCACGGATGTTTGCTGGCTGACCCCTGCTTCTGACCAGTTCAATATTCACTCAGCACCTAGTATGCAGTGGGCACCGAGGATAAAACAGCGAGCAAGGCTCCACTGAGCCTTCATGGAGTTCAAGGCCTGGTAAGGGAAGGACTCACCAGGCATTGAGGGCCATCGGGGCCTGCCGTTTGGTCATCTGGCCAGCTGGCCCCTCACTCAGCCTACAGGCTCTTCCTGTCACCGAAGAAGAAGCAAGTCCTGGAAAGGCTGCGACTCTGCCTTGGGGCACAGAGTTGCTGTCATATTCATTACGCTGATGTTCCTATGACAGGGCTACAATGTCTTACCCCAAACCTTCAGGACATACATGTTTCAGAATTTTTCAGCCTTTAAAAAAGTAACATAGTATTTATACCACATATTACGCAAGACCCCAGCAGGGCACCACCCTTAATCAAACATATCAATGTCTCTGCAATGAAACCCATGAATATTCATACTCCTCAAGATAAATACAGACTATGTACGTCTTAAGTCGGTTTGGGTCGAGTTTTCCCACAAAATTAATTACAAAAACTTTTGATCGTCAGAGTTTTTTGGAGTTCACAATTTCAGATAAAGGATTATGGGCCTGCACCAACGACAATCACAAAGTGCAAAAGCTGGGTCCTGACTTCATTCCCAAGTCTTGGTTGGACATCCCCACCCCTGCAGACTGCCCCAGTGGCCACCTAGCTCAAAGAAAGCACACACACAAGGCACACAGAAAACGCAAACTGAACTCATATCACCCGAATCTTTTCTCCAAACAGCTACTAACATTATTCCTGAAGAATGTAGCAAAGTGACTGCCCACTCTATTGTCAGGGGCAGAGAAAAGCCAACATCAATGAATAATTTTTCGAACTCCGTTTACTTGGGACAAGGACAATAAAACTGTTTTCTGGTCACTGTTGCTGCCTGATGAGCAGGCACTTAGGTGTTTTGGGGGAGCAGGTGAGTGGTAGCAGCTAAAACTGAAAACCCATGATTTTTTTCCCTTGCGTACCTTCCTCAAAGCCTCCCTGTGGCCCAAGTTTCATTTGGAAATTTAAAATAAGTTATCTCATCGCAAATTCCTAAACAGCTAATTAGAAAAATGTACTAATTGGGTAATCTGATTTCGGATGTTCTAATTATACTCCTTTGGGCGGAAAAACAAAAAAAAAAAACAGATATTACTTCTATGTAATTTAATAGCACTTCTTCAAAAAAGTGTAAAATATCCAGAAAGCCTAAAGTATAAAATTTTTAAAAAATCACCTCAAACCTTAAGATAGTGTTACTGAAAGAATATCTTAACACACTCTCTCTGTAAACAGATGTACCACTTCCTATAAAATGCAGCTCTTCTGCATTAAAGGATGATATCTGAAAAAGATATTTCGGCAATAACATACTGGACGTCCTGGAATCAATTGGATCCCCCCACCCCAACCTCCTTTTAATGCAACACAGTATTAACTTTCTGAAATATCATATCCTCTTTCTTAACAGAGCACTCCTATGAATGACTCCGAGAAATTTCCTCAGCGCCTGAGATTTCTAAATCTCAAATTGGGCAAGAGGTTCTGGACTCCGCTGGTGATCCCTACTTAACCCTGGCACTGAGCAGATTTTGAGGAAGGATTTTACTGTGTGATTGGGGCATGTTTTTAGCCTGCCTGACACAACACTCAGGGTAAGAAGGTAAGAGGGGATGGCTACGTGGGGAGAGGGCCTGCAGGTGAGTGTGTTATAGGCAGGGCTTTCCTCCCAATGCCAAGTGCCTAGGAGGTGTGTCTAGTGAACGTGAGCAGCAGCCAGGTAAGCCCTCCCAACCACAGAAGCTGCCCATGACCTCCAGGACTATATTTAATCAGGGCTGCCTGCCCCAACAAGGAAAAGCCTGAGGGAGGCAGAGAACTGCCCCTCACAGTCCTGCCATTGTGGTAAACAGTGCCGGAACACCACGACTCCTGGTGGAAAGGACACAGGCATCCTCTCTGGCATTTACTCTGGCCCCGTGCAGGACATGTGCTACTTGTCTGATTGACAAACATCGTTTGCCGATGAGGCCGGGACTAGGCTGGGCGAGCATTGCCTGGGCCGAGGCAGAGCTGCACTGACACTGGCCAGTCAAGTTAGTTTCACTTTCTGGTTTTTCTCCCTGGGTCGTGCTTCTCACCCTGATGGAAGCATATGTCCTTTAAATGGCAAGGGAGAAATTCCTCAAAAATGGTCCTTGTTTTCTTTTTTTACTGAGGACACTGTTTTCCTCTGAAGACAGGGTAACAGGCTTTGGTGAAAACTCTAACTACGTAACTTTGGTCCCCCGGGCTGCTTAGTCTAATATGATTACACATCTAAATGCAATAAACGGGGCAAAGTGGTATTATTTTTCTGGGAAAAACCAACATCATAAAAGGGACTTTATTAAATG